CGCGACCTTGCCGCGGGCAGAGGGTTGAATCCATGAATGCGGAGGGTAATCGGCCAGCAGGTCGCCTGTGTCGGCGCGGCGTTCGGCGGAAAGCAAGACGGGTCCCCTGCTGGACCACATTGACGCTGCTGTCCTCTTCGTCCTCTTTGTCCTCCTCCTCCTCCTCCTCCTCCTCCTCCTTGTCCTCCTCCTCCTCTCCTCCTCGTCCCCCTCCGCCTCCCCCTTTTTCTCCCCGTCTCCCCCATTCCCCCTCGACGGGGGGAGGACCGAGGAGGACCTCGAAACGAACCCGAGAGGCCGGAGGGAGCTGGCCGGGCGGAGCCGGGGCGGCACGACGGGGCGAGCCGAGCGAGGGCAGCGGGAGCAGGCGTCGGGGGGCAGCAGGGTGGGCGGCGCGCGCGCGTGGGCAGGAGGGGGCGCCTTCGTCTTCGTGGCGTTCCTCGTCCTTCCTCCTTCTTCCTCCTCCTCCTCCTCCTCCTCCTCCTCCTCCTCCTCCTCCTCCTCCTCCTCCGCGCGTTCCTTCGTGGGCAGAAGACGAGGGACGCCACGAACACAAACGCCCCCCCTCGCGGACGCTCTGGCAGCGTGTGCTGCCTCCGCCGGACCTCCAGGGGCTTCCTTGGGGCGTCCGCGGGCCTCTCGGTGGACCGGCGGAGATCTCTGGGGGGGGGGCCTCTGGAGGCGTCGGTGGCGAGAGCAGGCTGACGCTTCCAGCAGGGCGCTGGGGCCTACTCTCCTCGAGCTCGAAGAGGAAAAAAAAACGCCATAAACGTAAACTTCTCGCGCTCCGCGCAGATGGCTTGGCTCTGCGCTGGACCCCCCTGGCGGCGCCTCTGGCGCCGGCCCGTCGGCGCGCTCCGCGCGCCAGGGAGCGGGGTCCAGCGCAAATCAAGGAAATCCACGCGGACCGTTGAAATTTGTTAATCTTCTGGGAAGGCTTACTAGGAGGAGACTGTTTCTTAGAGAGTGCCAGCCCTACATTTATAGAAAAGGCCCGCGCCTTCTAAGAAACGGGGTGCTTTTAAAGAAGACTTCCCCTTTTCTCAACCTCTGCACGTGGCCGAAGACTGGCGGCAAGTGGGCGTTGTATCGAACGCGACAGGGTCCTTCTGTGTGAGAAATCTACAGCAATTCTCTGGGCTGTACATTTCTCCGCGGATATCTCTAGAAGGCATGAAGAGATTTCAAGAACATGTCTTGCAAATCTCACCAAAAATCTCGTGCAAACATCACCGGACAAAAATACACTGGCAAATTTCCGGAAAGTCTCCTGGTTTCGCGGGAGATTTGTTGTAAGGCACGAAGTTTATTTGGAGAGTCGTCGGATGATTTTTTAGGCGCGAGGATTTTTGGGAGATTCGCCGGGAGATGTTTAAGGCGCGCTGATCTTGTGGAGATTCGCGGGAGGATGTTCTGATATCGGAAATACTCGCGGGGATCTACCGGAAGGTGTCTTGGAGATGCCAACGCGGTCGTGCCTGCCATAAACCCCGACATCGGGCGACTCGAAAAATTCGATGCGGGTTTTTGTTGGCCGTTCTCGGGGCCACGCATGCCCGTCAGAAAAAAAAAAACGACGCGGAAGGATAACATCCAGCCCCCGGGGAAACGGTCGAGAGGCCGGTGGCGCCCGCGCCTCGAAAACATCGAGACGCCGGATGTCTGGGGCGAGGGGGGGGAGGAGCAGGAGGAGGAGGAGGAGGAGGAGGAGGAGGAGGAGGAGGAGGAGGAGGAGGAGGAGGAGGAGGAGGAGGAGGAGGAGAGGAGAGGAGGGAGGAGGAGGAGGAGGAGGAGGAGGAGGAGCACCCTTCGTCCCCCGAATCTTTCTTCCTCGTTGTCGCCCCCCTCCTTTCCCCTCCTCGGCCTTCTCCAAGTCCTCCCTTTCCTCCCTATCCTTCCGCCTTCAGTTCCTGCTGCTGCTGCTGCTCGTCCTCCTCCTCTTCCTCCCTCCCGCGCATCCTCCTGCTCACCCGCCACCTCCTCATCCTCCTGCTCACCCGTCAAGTCCTCCCTTTCCTCCCTATCCCTCCGCTTTAGTTCCTGCTGCTACTGCTGCTCGTCCTCCTCCTCTTCCTCCCTCCCGCGCATCCTCCTGCTCACCCGCCGCCGCCTCTTCCCTCCTGTGCACGCCGCTCTCCTTTTTCTTTTCCGGTTGCGCACAACACACGAGGTAGGCTCTCTGTGGGAGGGTCGCAGGTCGGCTATGCCACGCGTCCGCGGATAAGGGCAGCTCAGCGCCACGGGAAGGGATGGGAGGGAGGGGCCAGATTGAAGGGGAACTGGAACACGCAAATAAATTCACACAAATTAACTGGAACAATTGGGGAATCGAGGATTAATTGTGTCTGTGTGTTTCTTTTCCTCCTGACAGATGTCGGATGAGGGGCGAGCGCGCCTAGCTTGCCCCCCCCGCCCGGGCCCCCCCGCCTCGGGGCGGCCGACCTCAACTCACCGACAGAGGAAGAAGATCCATAATCCTCCACATCCGTGTCCTACGCTTCTCCGGCAGCACGACTTCCTGCCTGCTTGCTTGACGGAGAAGGGAGGCGGCTGGGGAGCCCACGCGAGAACGCCGGAGCCCATCCGTTGCCCTCCTCCCTCGCAGTCTCTGCGTCTCACGTTCTCCCTTCCCTGCCCCCTCTCCGTGAGTTTTTTTCGCGATCGTCGTTGTGACCAGCGGACTTCGGATCCGAGAGCTCTCTGGGATCGATGCGGGGAAGAGGACACATGGAAAACCCGAGCCGCTGCCAGCGGCCTGTGCTGCCGCTCGACCTGCGCACGCGCCGACAGCGTGAACCCACACCGCAGGGAGCCGTGATATTAAGCATTCCCCTGCCTGCAGTTCACAGGACATCATGCTCGCCTTTCCTCTAACTGTACACACGCGCCGAGAACATCAATAGACGCGCTGCGTGCAGGATATTATTGCCAATCCTCTCACACGGCGAGAGTCCGTTCTCCCAAGCATGTTGCACATGTGCCCTGTGCAACAGGCGGCTGGCCATTCACTCAGTCAGGCCATGCGACGGCGGCGCGCCCGAGGGGCCAGGAGGAGGGGGAAGACTTCTTAGAAGGAGGCAGCTTCTTAGAAGGCGCCGGCCTTACATTTATAGAAACGGCCCGCGCCTTCTAAGAAGCAGGGTGCTGCTGAGGGGCCTTTCCCCTCTCCCCCTACCCCATTCTGCGCGTGGCCGACATCAGTAGGTCCCTCTCCTCCTTTTCGGCCTCAATCTCTCCCCACCGGGCTCCGCTCGTGTGCCGGATGTCCCAAAGCAGTGCTGTCACGAACAGACTTTTGCCTGATCTCTAGGATTTGCTAGGAGAGGGAGGGGAGGCGAAAGGAGAGGGCGCCACAGACATATTGCCGATTCGCTCGTCACTGCACGCACGGCGGGCATCTGGAGCGTGATAAGAGATTTGCCACCTGTGTGTGCGTGTGTGCGCTTAGTTCTACACGCGACTGCCACGTCCAGTCCACCCAGCCGCTGCGCCAGGCGGGATTCGGCTAGCGCGTCCCCGCGACGTGCCGCCACATCGCCGCTAGAGAAACAATATATATACATATCTGTGTGTGTCTGTGTGTGACTGGCGCCGCCTGACCCCGCTGCCCCGCTGCCGCCTGACCCCGCTCTGAGCGGGCCTGGCCTCTGTCTCCAGCCTTGCCGCCAACGCAAAAAAAGAGTGTGTGGATGTGTGTGTTGGTGTGGTTATGTGTTTGTTGTTGCTGATGCTGATGTTGTTGCTGCTGTTGTTGCTGCTGCTGTTATTGTTATTGTTGCTGCTGCTGTTGTTGTTGGTGTTGTTGCTGTTGTTGTTGTTGTTGTCGTCGTCGTTGTTGTTGTTGTTGTTGTTAGTGGCGTTGTTGTTGCTGCTGCGGTTGTTGTTATCGTCGTCGTCGTTGTTTTGTTCACTGTTGTTGTTCTCACCGTGGCGTGTGCATGTGCATGTGTAGGTGTCCGTCCTGTTTGGCTGGCGTTGCCGCTCTTCCCCGCTGCGCCTTGCCGCTCGCTGCTTCGTGTTGGCACCGTCGCACTGCCTCGCCTTCCCCCTTTGCCCCTCTCCCCCCGCTCTCCCCCCTCGGTCCCCTCACGGCTGCCCCCCCGCTCGAATGCCGCCGTCGAACCCCCCTGGGTGGTTCCGCCTTCTCCTCGCCGCGTGAACCGGTACGGTGCGAGCTCTCGCTTGACTTGCTTTACGCCGCGCCGCCGCGCGCGTGACCGCGACGTCAATACACACATGTACATACATCTATGCAGATGTGTGTACATCTCTCTATATATATATTGATATGTATATCTCTGTGCGTTTAGGCTTCCGTTCGCGGGCCACTCCTTGGCCAGCCTCCGCACTGCCTCCTCCGCTGGGCTCGTCGCCCACTGGCGATCGCCGTCCTCCGCGCAGCTCCGTCGCTGTCTCATCCCTGTGCCTGCCTGGGCTTCTTCGCTGGCTGTCGTCTCTCCCTGTGGCTCCCTCGACGCCGCAGTCGGCCGTTGGCGCGCCTGCACGCTGCGGTTGATGCCCTCTGCGTTGGTGCCATCCGCAGCCGGCCGTTGGCGCGCGGGTGCCCTACAGTTTGCACCCTCTGGTTGGTGCTCCGTCGTTCCCTGGGCGCCGCAGTCGGCCGTTGGCACGGCAGTGCTTCATGGCGTGTGCCTACGAGTTTATTCTACGTATCAAATCATTGCAAGTTAATCCCCATATATTGCAATATCAATGGACTTCGCCTTCATGTGGGGTCCTTCGCCGTCGGTATTGCTTTCTCGAGCGCAGGCCCAGGGCGCCTCATGGTTGGCACCCTATAGATGGTGCGCTGTGGCTTGCACCACGTAGATTGCACATCGGGTATGCGGGAACTGACTGTTTGGGGTCCGCGCCCTGACATCATCAAGCCCTGCAGGAGCCAACCGCAGCCTCAAACAGATCAAGGAGCCAGCGGACGGGGCGTCAGCCTCGACTAGACTCGGCCTTGGGAGCGGCTGACCACGAAGGCAAGGTGACGCTCATACCACCAGCTCGACCGCAACATCTCTCGCGGCAGCCGCATGGCTTCCCACGTGGTCACTGACGTAGTCCTTCAGGACCACGATCGCCGAGCCCGACTCAACGATGCCGCCGTCGATTATGGTGCCGTCGGTGCCTATCTGGACAGGCGCGCCCGGGCACTGCATCGCCTTGCCGCTCGGCTCGTCCAATGGACCTTCCCACCTCGCCAAGTTGCAGTAACTCCCCGGCGGAAGGCCCGTTGCGACACCCGTCATGTCCCACGGTTCCGAAGATCCGATGCGGGTGAGTCCGTTGTACCCGCGATGCAGGGCCACAAAGGAGAGGTTCCCCAGGCCGAACGCTATGCAGCCCCCTCCTTCGCAGGCCTCCGTGCTCTCCTCGACGTGCCTCAGAGTCACAGCGCTCGTGTTGGCCAGGCCGTGCACGCGCCTGACAACCTGACGGAACCGCACGAGTGCAGCAACGCCACGCCAGCGGTGCTCGCATATCCACCTATGAGAGTCTTCCCTGTCGTCAACCTCGTCCAGAGGGGTCTCCGTCGGTGTTTCCCGACACCTTCCAGGACGCGCCTTGGAATCCGAAGCGTCGTGCACTGACGTCGGCTTCTCGGTGAGCGAGTCCTCCGACAGGCCCGGCGGCCCCCTGCCGAAGTCGTCCCAGAAGTAGGACGACATGATCTTGACGGAGGCGCCGTAGGGGAACGCCAGCGTGTACAGCGTCATCAGCAGGTACGCCTGCCCGTGCTTGTAGATGGGCCGGCACGCGGGTGTCCCCCCGCTCTGCCGGTCCCACTTGCACATCACCTCCGGGGGCGCGGTCTGGCCCGACTCCTGGTAGCGCTCGTTCCAGGCGTACCGCTGCTGGTCGTGGTTGTCGAGGAAGATCGTCGCCTTCGGGGCAGGGCTCGCACAGAGCCGGGCGTCGCAGCAGCAGGCATACGACGGCAGACTGCACGCAGTGTCCAGCCGGCCTCGGGGGGCTGTCTCTATCGGGCCCCTGGGAGGTCCAGAGAGCAGGGGGCGCACGCCACGAGAGAACTGTGACATAGGATGCGAGGGGGCGGAAAATCCTCGCGGTGACGTCAGCCTCAACGACTCCGATGGCTGACATGGGTTCTGGGCAAGGGTGGCACGCAAATCCTCAGGGCGGAACCTTCTCTTTGGGGAGAGAGCTGTGACGTAGGATGCGAGGGGGCGGAGAACCCTCGCGCTGACATCAGCCTCAACGACTCCGATGGCTGGCATGGGTTCTGGAAAGGGGCGGCACGCAAATTCTCAGGGAGGAACCTTCTCTTTGGGACAAGGAGATTCGCACATGCTGTCGGAGCAATCTGGCTCAGTGTCGGTCATATAGAGGAGATTCTTGAAACGGTCCGCGTTGGAACGCCACGTCTTCTCATATGCGTCGTAGTAGTCGAACATCCTGCCTGCGATCCGCGCTCCATAGGAGAAGTCGGTCAACGAGCCGATGGCGAGCAGATATTGCTTGGTCTGCTGCTCGTAGAGGGGAGCGGGATACACCTCCAAGAGACTGTAATCCCATGGAAACGGCTCCAGAAGCTTTCCCAGCGACGAAGGATATATGTGAGCAGCAGCGTCAACACGCAAGTACGTAACACCTCAAAGGGGGCTTGACGACAAGCTGCACCGCCCCCCTCGGGAAGAGTCGAATCAACAAGTGGCTCGTGTGCCCTGGCTCTTGCATCAAGGAGCTGCGTGGGCTGGGTCCAGGGCAAGGCCAGAATGCCAGGACGGCCAGGGGGGAGGACGAACGACGAACGAACGAACGACGACGACGAACATGAAGAGGCCCAAGCTCTAGAACACAGCTGTGCAAGAGAATAAAGCATTCGGACTCCCCATGACGGGACGCCGGCCCACTGCGCGTGGTCAGCGTCAATTTTTGGAGTCCCGAAACGGTGCGGTGGCAGACCGTGCAATGACCTCGAAATCCCCCCAAACCTCACCGCACGGTCCGTCAACGCACGGTTTTGGGACCTCGGATGACCAAATCACCCAAGACATCCTCGGAGATGGACTCGAGTCCTCAAACCGTGCGGAGACCCCGAATCCCCACCGAATCACCACACGGTGTGGTCATCACACCGTTTGGGGGCCCACGACGACTCCTCGCAGCATTCCTCTGTGCCTGGCCGCGTCTCCTGGACATCTACGACGCCACCACGGGGACCACAAATGTGCGCCAGGGGAGCCCGCCCCGGAGTGGCCCAAGAAGCCCCAAGGAAGTACATCAAGGAGGCCTCAAGAGAACTCACGAAGGATCTCAGAGGGAATTCAGAAGGCCCTCCGAAGAATTGTAGGGGGGATCCAGAGGGATCCTCGAGGATCCCAGAGGGAGTCGAGGCTCCAGAAGGATCCTCCGGAGAAGGCCCAGACGGCCTCAGAGGCCGCCCTGACGGCTCCAGAGGGCTCCCCCAGGGTGCCCAGGCGCCCCGAAGACGCCCGAAGAGAGCCCGAAGAGGACCTCAAGACGCTTCCCGAGGGCTCCGAGACTCTGTCAGAGTGTCTTTGAAGGGGAACTGGGACACACAAATAAATACACACAACTAAACATATCCCCCATATTTTCCCATATTTTCTGGGTTTTTGTCTTCCCCCCACTTCCCATATTTTCTGGGGATCGACGATGAATTGTGTCTGTGTGTTTCTTTTCCTCCTGAGTCTTGCTTGCGCGTCGAAGTTCCCTCTCGTGCTCATCGCCCGCGGCTCCCACCAGCCCTCGCGGCGGCAGGAGGCCCGGCGGCGCGTCCCAAGCTCCTCCCTGCAATCCTTGACGAGCTGGGGGTTACACCACCTCCCTGCCCTCTCCCTGGTGCCCCAACTTCGGCGACCATCTTGGCTTCTAGGTCTCGTGTTTCGCCCATGCGCCAACCAATGAGATCGAAGGGACGACGTGCAGCAAGTGTGATACACGGGCAATCATCTGAGCCACCGCTGGCATCCAGTAGGGCCTCCAGAGGATGGCTGGCCTCCAGAACCACTCGCCGCTTGCTCCCGAGGCGCCTCCAGGACGCCCCGGGGGCTCCCCTGAGAGCTCCCGACACGGCCCGACCCCATGGGACAGCCGAAGACACCGCCACGAGGCGTCCGAGAGGTCCCAGGATGTACCCCTCCAGCGGCAGGGGACGTCGGGCCGAAAGGCCCGAGGGCCTCCAGGGAGACTCCCGAGACGGCATGAGAGATGCCCCCCCCCCTCGATCCTCGAGCTCGAAGCCTCGGCTCGGAGCCCTCGGGCCTCGAGCTCGAAGCCTCGACCCCGAACCCCCGGTCCCGAATCTCCTCCTCCTCGACCCTCGACCCTGAGCCCTGAACCCTCGATCTCCTCCTCCTCCTCGATCCTCGATCCTCGATCTCCTCCTCCTCGATCCTCGATGCTCGATCCTCCTCCTCGACCCTCGATCCCGAACCCCCGGTCCTGAAGCTCCTCCTCCTCGATCCTCGACCCCCGAGCCCGCGGCCCCCCGGGGGGGCCCGACGCGGGCCCTTCTCCGGAGGCATCCGGGGGAGAGAGAAGTCCCCCATAAGAGCCCGTCGGAGGGCGACCTCGCGAAGGCTCCCGAGAGGCGCACGGAGAGGGGGTCCTCGATCCTCGATCCTCGATTCCGAACCCTCGGTCCTGAATCTCCAGGAAAGAGGAGTCCCCAAGAGGCCCCCGAGAGACGCACAGAGGGAGTCCAGGTCCAGCTCCCCGCCGAGCTTCCCCACAAAGCCTCCGAAACTGCACGATTACCGCACCTGCGGCCGAGGAGGGCCCCAGGAGGTGGCCCCGACGCCCCCCCGAAGTCCCCCAGCTGACACGGTGAGATCACAAGTAGCGACCAGACTGCTCACAAACACGCCAGACACACTCAAAACGGAGGACGGCTCGCAAACAACACAAGCGAATCTGGGAAACTACCAGACCAGACAGGACCATATGAAAACAAGCCAACTACGCGACCCCATGCCTGTCCCCTGCGATCTGCGGGCGCACAGGTGGCAGATGGGGGGACAGCGGGGAGGCGCAGGCCAGGCAGGAGGAAGAGGAGGAGGGAACAGGTTGGCGGTGCACACGGGAAAGGCGACGACTCCCACAGCGTGGAAACGGAATCTAATTTAGAAAAGGAAAACCGAGCAGGAGGAAACACATAAGCAGAGTAATTCCCCCCTTGAGAAAATCAGACCTTGGAGATTACCGATTTTGTGCACCGAGATATTTGGAAACAAATGGGATCAACTATCGCATCAAACGGGACCGACGAGACCAGACCCGCACAATGCCACTGCGTCCTAGCATATGGGGTAAGACCACGCGGCCAGACCAGACCAGGTAAAGCCATTGCGAGCCATTCCACATCAAAACTGGGTGGGACACTGGTCGCTGGATGGTCGAGTGAAGAAACGCGAATCGTTTAGGACAGTCTATGCACCCTACGTATGCAGCATGCCCCACTGTAGAACGCAGATGACGAGCAGCCACGCGTGGACTGACTGCACGCTGAAAACGGATTTGCACGCATCAGTACACACATGCGCCACGTAGCTCACAACATATCCATATCCACACATCGGAAGTTGGGGACTGAGCCCGACATGACACAGAGACCCCCACCAGGAAATCGGTTTCAGTCTCGTGTTTTTATCGTAATCACGTGCGGGCGAAGCGATGCTGCGTGGGCGTGCGAAAGAAATCAACCCGCCGCTGCCAAGGCAAAACTGAATCCAGGTGGCCGGCGATGGCCGGGGGTGTCTTGCGGGTGTCCTGCCGCTGCTAAAGCGAAAAGAATTGAATCCAATGATTTTTTTGGAATAAAGAACTGGTGCGTCGCATGCGTGGCGCTGCGGTCATCCGATCATAAGATGCGCTGCTCGGTCAGAGTTGCCTGCGCGGCCCCTCATGCGACGTTTCTGGCGGACAAATCCTGCCCCCCCCTGTGGGTTGGAGGGGCACATGCACATGTCACGAAGTCGGTGCGCGGGCGATTTCCCGCCACTACTTAGGAGAACACTCTCCCAGCAAAACGTGCTGCTTTCCCTCCGCGTGGGGCGCAGAGAAAGAAACGGAAACAGGAGGACGAGCAAGTGGGGGGGAGGGGGGAAGAGCACACCTGCCCCAAAATACGAATTCTCACAAAAACGTATCATCTTGAATGGGCACGCGCTTGCAACGGCCATGCGGCCGGGACAGGCAAACGCTACCCGTGACGACAATTGCCAGGGCATTCGCCCAACACTCGGCGCAACAAAACGAAAGCGCGAACGGCAACGCAGTCAGAAACTCGCACTCGGATGCCAGGGAGAAGGAAAGCGGGGAAGAAAAAGTGGATGAGGAGGAGGAGAAGGAGGAGGAAGGGGCGGAAGAGGAGGGAAGGCATTGTGCCCGACTCATTGCAACCGCGGCAGGCGCAATTCGCACCGGCGCGCGGGCGGGCTAGGCAAGCCGTCACTAGGGAGAGAAGGAAGGGGGAAGGAGGGGAAGACGGCGAAGGACGGGCGGGCGGGGGCGGGGGAGGGGCAGTAGTCGCGTCGTTGCGCCAAGCGGGGGCTGCCGCTGCTGCCGCCGCCGCTGGGGCCGCCGCAGGAATCGCCGACGGAGCCGCGGCGCCGTCCCCCAGGACAGCGCCGGGGTGCCCGCGCCTCGCGGCCACGGCCGCGTCCGCAGGCTCGTCGACCGTGCAGTCCTCGTCCACGGCCAACGGCGTGCAAGGGCGCGCCATGCGGGCTGCGCGGCGCCAGATGCTGACGGCGATTCGAGTCTGCGCGTGGCGCAATTCCACATGCGCCTCCGTGCCCCGCCGCCGCGCGTGCGCCCTGGCGATCGACTGCAGCGCCCTCGGGAACTCGTCGTGGCAACGCCCGACAGCGCTCACAACGAAGACCCGGCACTCAACGCCGACGTCCTCGAGCTCGCTCCGGAGACCGTCGGCTCGACGCTTCTTCCGGCGCACCATCGTCTCCAGGCAGTCGTCGCCTGCTCCCGCCGCCAGAGGCGCGATGATTCCCCGCGTCCAGTGCCGCCAGGCGCCCTGACGGAACCGGGAGGTCAGTCAAAACGTCCGCAAGATGGAGCAATTGGCGTGAGCTCACGAGGCCTACCGGCTCAAGCTCTGTGCTGCTATCAACAGCGCTGGCGAATGCATGCGCGTCCTTAATTGGCTGCGTTATGTCTGGCATGGCAAGGGCCTCTGGCGCAAAGGAGCACGCAGCTGCCGGACGGGCACATGATGCACTCACCGCAGTTGGCGCACACCACCTCCTCATCGGGCCCCCCCGCGCCGAGGCGGATGCGGACGGCGAGAGCGAACTTGTCGCTGGTCATAATCCGTCACTTGTGCGGAGGTATGGCCCACAGCCCACAGCCAATCGTGATATCGGTTCGGGTGGAAGAATTCCTGGAGGCGGTGCGCTGCGTCGGTGCTCCTGCTCGCTCGCGCTTGGGAGGGGAGTCCATGGCCACTGTGCGGTCCGCCACTCTGCTGAGGTCGCGCTGGAGGCGCAGCGCGCCGCGGCCCTGGGGGGCGGCCAAATGCTCGGGGTCCTCCGCGCCCGTCTCGGCGACGGCCGCCGCGCCGGGCCTGTGGCTGACCGCGCGGCCGCCTGCCCCCAACTCTTCCTCCGCTTCGCCAGCGCACCAATTCCGCAAGCGGCGCTCTGCCAGCGCGGCTGCTTCCTCGATGTGGGTGCGCACGGCGTCCCGCCACCTCTGCGCCGCGGCGTGCGTGCGTGCGTCCCGCCACCCCGACCCCTCCTCCTCCGCGTGAACACTCATGACTGCGACGAGCAGACGCGAGGCGACCCCGCTGGCAATGAACGCGGGCAGCGCGCACTCGGACGCCTCCCGGAGCCCAAGTCGGCCAGCGCCCACAGGGAGAGCGGCCTGGACCCATCCTCCGTCCAAGAGCTTACTGTGGAGGGCGTCTTCCGCACCATGCTGAAGCGAAGCGTCGAACGCAGCCGGGGAGTCGTCACTGACCAGGTCCCCGTTGCACTGGAGACCTTGGAGACGTCGAAGCAGCGGACCTAGGAGACGTCGAGGCAGCGGCGGTGGGGCACGAGCTCGCGCTGCTCGCACTAGAACTGCTCCAGGCACCCAATCCCAGCCCATTGCACGTGCGCCAGAAATGCTGATTGACTTCTTCGCTGCTTCCGACCATGGCCCCATGACTTTGACGCCGCGCTGGCTGTCGGGGACCTTGCACGCTTGGGCGACATAGCTCTGCTCCCAACCTCTCACCTGGTCCCGGCGGTCTGGGTGGCACAGCAGTCGCGCGACGTTTTTGCAGTTAGGCCCAGTGCCCACTGTCCCTGCTGTACCCAATGCTGGCGATCGCTTTGTCGATGCGCCGCAGCCACCTCTCCGCGACCTCGACGCGGACAGAGCCTGCCCGCCGTCGATGAAACATTCGTCCACAGCGCCGATGCGACAACCCGCCTGCCCCTGTAGTGCGTCGCGGGATGCGCCCACGGCGTCGCCGAGCGTGAGAGCAGAGGCGGCGGGCCCGAAAACGCTTCCCTGGCCAGACCCTCTGTCGGTGTGCGCCACGCTTCCCTTGGGCAGGTCCATGAGCTCGTCATCTGCGTGGACCCGCTGCGTCCACCAGAAGGCTTCGGGGAGTGGCGACGAAGCGCCTCCCGAATGCGCTCCCGCAGAATGGTGCCGAACATGCTCGCCAGGTCGAGGTCGAACGCCACTGCTAGGGGGATGTGCCCTGCCATGGCCTCCGCCTCCACCAACGACCGCCAGCGCACGAGAGCTTCGCAGCCGCAGGGCAATTCGACGCCCCACTGTCGAGAAGCCGCGAACGCAGCTCGGAATTTCGGAGCCTTCTTCTTCTGCACCTTCTCTTGACCATTGCTGCTCGCAGGAATTCGCCGACTCGAACTGGCCCGGGCTTGGCGAATCCTTCGTTCGCAGAAAGACCAAGCGAGTGCGTGTAAGCCACCGCGCAAGCTTGCCGTCACGTGCGACCTCCTGGAATCTTAGCATGGCGCGGCCAGCCTGTTGGCAAGCGGGCGTTGCTTGATGCCCATGCACTCCTTGGCATGCTCTGCCCTGGTTCCGGTCGGCCCCGGCTCTGTGAGACACGCAAGCCTGACGCCGTTTCAAGGGGTGGTCGTCCCGCAGCAGGTTTTGGAATGCAGCGTCGTTCGGGTCGCTGGGCGGCACGGGGCCCCGCGGCCCCGGCGGCGTTGCAGCGCCGTCGGCGGATGCAGCCGTCTGCTGGCCGGGGGGATTGCGGCGCAAGCTCGGCCGCCCATTCGGCCTTGTCCGCTGGCGTGAGCTTGGTGGCCTTTCCAGTGAGCGTGAGGGCAGCCCTTCGGTTTGCCCCCTCGGCGCAGAAGCGTCTGCCCCGACGTCGCTTGGCAGCCGTGGCGCGGGCCTCGGCTCCAGGTCCGCGCTGGCTCACAGGTCGTCGTCGAAGGATGGCCTGGGCCTCGGCGCGGCAGAGCAGCGCCGCGCAGCATCCGCGCGCCCATAGAGCGGCGCGGGCGGCGAGCTCTGTGGGCCCGTGCGCCCCGGCGGGGCGGTCAAGCAGCAGTCGTCGTGACCAGGCCTCTACCGCAGCCGCCCAGCCCGGCGGCCACGCGGCGGCGCCTTCGAGAGTGGCTGCCCAGATGCGGGCGTGGCGGGCGCGCAAGGCGACTGGGACGCGTGTCTGTGCGGTGCCCTGGAGGGCCCTCACGCGGTCGGCGAAGTCGGCCCCCAGCAGCCCGTCCTCAGGGCCTCTTCGAGGATTGCCCTGCGAGGCTGGCTCTTGCGATGGCGGTCGCGCTGGGGCGAGGGCCTGCATCTGTTGCACGTCGTCATGCCGATTCGCCGTATGCCTCCGCATGCCAGATCCGAGCACAGCGCTCCGTCAAGCGAACGGAGCACGGCCACCGCCCCGTCATCGAACGCCTCGCCTGCGTGCGTCGTGGTCAAGTGGCGCATGAGCCATGGGCCAGTCTCGAAGGATCGTTCGTGGCACAGCAGGCACGTGATGACCACGTTAGGGAATGCCGCCGCTGGAGGGGGCTCCGCTGGCGGCGGGGCTTCTGCGATGCCAGCGCGCAGCGCCAGTGCAGCGGCGGAAGCGTCTGTCCGCCGACGCCACTGGGGACCATCCTCCCCAACATCAGCTCCCCCTCCCCTCATTGCCTCCCGAGCTGCTCGCCCATGCGCTTCAGCCTGTGGATCGTCCCCCCCGCGGTGCCACCTGCACCATGTTATCGCTGCGTGGCATGTCCCGCAAACTTCGACCTCCATGTCGCCGACCCCCCGGCCCACAACAGGGGCAGGGGAAGGGGCCGAGGCAGAATGGACTGGCATGCCCTGAGCCTCCACACTGCTGCTCCCGGACTGCAGCGGCCCAGTTCCAGCGACGAGCCCCGCTGCAGCGTCCCCGGCCACCACGGCCGGGGCCGGCGCAGGCGGCGGCGGCGGCGGGGGCGAAGGCGTGGCGCGCTGCGCCTCGTCCGGCGGAAGCCCCGGCGTCCTCGTAGGAGGAGGAGGAGGAGGCGGAGGAGGCGGAGGAGGAGGAGGAGGAGGAGGAGGAGGAAGGAGGAGGGAGGAGGAGGGGAGGAGGGGGAGGGGAGGGGGAGGAGGAGGAGGAGGAGGAGGAGGAGAGGGAGGGAGGAGGAGGAGGAGGAGGAGGAGGAGGAGGGGGGGAGGAGATGCTGGGGCGCGAGGTCTGCCGCAAGGCGTGCTGTGGCAGAGACACGGGAGCGACAGGCTCCCGTGTCTCTGCCAGAGGGGGAGGAGGGGGATGAGGAGGAGGAGGGGGAGGGGGAGGGGGAGGGGGAGGGGGAGGGGAGGGGGGAGGGGAGGAGAGGAGGAGGAGGAGAGAGGAGGAGGAGGAGGAGGGGGAGGAGGAGATGCTGGGGACCGCGAGGTCTGCCTGCCGCAAGGCGTGGCGCCGCGGGGTCGGCCAGGCAGCGGCGGAGACCGCGAGGGCGTGCTGTGGCAGAGACACGGGAGCGACAGGCTCCCGTGTCTCTGCCAGAGGGGGAGGAGGGGGAGGAGGAAGGAGGAGGGAGGGGGGGGGAGGGGATGGGGAGGGGAGGGGGAGGGGGAGGGGGAGGGGGAGGGGAGGGGGGAGGGAGGAGGAGAGGAGGAGGAGGAGGAGGAGGAGGAGGAGGAGGAGGAGGAGGAGGAGGAGGAGGAGGAGGAGGAGGAGGAGGAGGAGGAGGAGGAGCGAGGAGGAGGAGGAGGAGGAGGAGCGAGGGCGACAGCGACCCTGCGGGGATGTCGGCTCCGCTCCCGAGCCGGAAAGAGATGGGACGCAGGCGGTCCCGAGGCCGCAGGCGAGGCGACCGGCGAGGGGGCGCGGGGGCGAGCATGTCCACCGCGACAGCACTCAGGGCGCGGCACTGGCCATCGCTCGGGCGTCCATTCCCCGCGCTTTTTGTTCGGTTTCGTGCGTGGATTTTGCGCCGAATGGTCAAGGATGCTCCTCGATGGTCCTCGCCGAAGGGAGCATGCACACGTCCGAGTGATGCCAAGGGCACGCGGAGCCGAGCGAGCGCTGTCCAGAGGACTGCGAGGGCCGTGTGGGCTGCGCCACCCCCGCGCAGAGGGCGACACGCCGCTGCGACGGGAAGCGGCCGCAGGTAGGCGAGCCCCCGAAATCGCAGGACCAGGCGCGAGCACAGCTGGGCGGTCCTAGTGGCGTGGGCGGCGAGGCAAACGATCACGTCGAACACATGGCCGAAGGTATACTCCAGCTGGCGCAGCGTGTGCAGCAGCAGTCCTGGAGCCTCCGCTGGGCCAGTCACGGAGGAACCTCCGCTGCTCGTACACCCCGTCGGGGAGGCTGCGCACGATCGGCCGTGCCGGAGGTAGAACAATCCCGTCGCGGTGGTCCAAGATGGCTCAGCAGGTCGAGGAGGAGGCTTGGCGACCGCAAGCTGGAAGAGCAGCTGCAGGTGCCGCGCAGCGCGGGCGCCTGGGCCAGCGGCACCACAGCAGGCGCGAGCCGTAGCAGGAGCCCAGGCCGGCCCCCGTAGCCGTCGAGGCCGCACAGGCCGGCAACGAGGGCGTCGGTGGCCGGCGGCGGCCCGGAGGTGCCCCGCCGGTGGTGTCCCGCCAGTGTGCCGTGGTGTCCCGAAGTGTTCCATGGCGTCCTGTGGTGTCCCGTGGTGTCCCGTGAGGTCGATTGCAAAATCGGCAGCGAGATAGTGAGATCGATGGTGCGATCGATCGCGACGTCGATGGTGAGATCGATACGTAGGCAGCGGGATCGACTGATATTGAGGCCGATCGATACCTAGGTCGATGGATAGCCAAGCCGCTCGAGGGTAAGATCGCGAGTGAGATCGCTGCTGACGTCGATCGTGGGATCGATAGTTTCTTCCCCCCTGGAGCGCCACGCAGGAGTCAGGGAGGAGATCAGGCCGCAGCCCGCGCGGGAGAGACCAGCGCGGCTCCACGCAGGCAGGGCAGATCTCGCAGTGGCGCTCGTGCGGCAGCACACGGCCACGGCGGCAAGCGCCCCGCGTCCGACGGTGAGATCGATCGCGAGATCGACGGAATGAGACGTTGGTCCCTTCCTCCCCCTCCACAACCTCCTTATCACCCGAAGGGTGATTGTATAGATACGCTGATACAAATGCGTGCATGTGCACTCACGCGCGTGACTATACATACGTGGCGGACATCCCTGTTGGCTTCGAGTACTTGCATTCGGGATGCTGGCAGGGCCTGCTGAATATAGTCGACACAATGCTCGCCAATCCCCTCGCAGGAAAACACGAACATCCATGTCTGGATGCTCCCGCAACGTGGAACGTACATGTCAGAATCTGTTCGTGACGCTACTGTGATGACTACGTGCATTGGCAATGCGTCTTCCACGCTATCGGAAGGCACCACCGTGTGCCAGTCGTCTGTTCTGAACATGGGCTTTTGGCACAAGTGTTGAATGACGACCTTCCTGCAGAAGACCCTAAACATCGTTGCATAGTTCACGTTTGGGGGCCACGATGGGGAGCCACGATGGGGGGATACGATGGCGGGCCACAACGAGGGGCCACGATGGGTAACCACGATGAGGGGCCACGATGGGAGCTACGGTGGGGGGTCACGATTGGGGCCACGATGGGGGGCCACGATGGCGGTCCACGATAAAGGGACCTCGATGGGAGGCCACGATGGGGGCCGCGGGGAGAACCACGATGGGTGGGCTAGGATGGGGTCCACCACAATGGGGCGCCACGATGGGGGTCCACGATGAGGGATCACGATGTCGAGGCCACGATGGGGGGGCGCGATGAGAGCCACGATCCACGATGGGGGGTCTACGATGGGGGCCACGATGGAGGGCCACGATGAGGGTCCACGATGAGGGATCACGATGGGACGATGAGAGGCCACGATGGGGGGCCACGATGGGTGGCCAGGATGGGGAGCCACGATGAACCGCCGATGTCGGGGGCACGGGCTCTATCACTAAGCGTTCGAGAAAGCATAGAGAACCGCTACAGCCCATAAACAGGAGCAAGCATGATGACCCACGCTCCCAATCATGCACGCGGAGACGTGACGCGCTAAGCAAAAGTGGCTCGGGAACACAAGCAGACACCTGCAACGCTGCATTTGCGACGCTGCTTTTCCGCTTGGGCGCACAGTGCTGCAAAAGCTTATGAGCCGAATTGCATCGACTGCAAATCATAAGTTCGGTGGACAAGACCCAGATACTTAAACATACGCACGCGCGTAAGTTAGAACGGTTGATTTCGTGAACGTTTCCTGGCCTGTGGGTAGAAGCAACGTGTAACGAAAGTAAACAAATCGATCGCACTGACGAACTGGTGAGGAAGGAGGGAACGATAAGCATTGGCGCTTGCTTTATGGCGGATGCTGGAAGCCCTGGACCCCCAAAATGATTAAACCCCGTGGGGCTGCAACTGTTATTTCCGCTGGATTCCGCCGGCCCTCCGCTGGCTTCCAACGGCGGAAGCGCCCTCGCTGTGGTGGTTCTACCGGCTTCCGCCGCTTTTCCGCCGCCTTGCGCCGAGGAAGATCTGTCGACTTCTCAATCTCGCGGAGCCGAGGCCCTCTCTGGAGCGCCCAACGTGCGTGCGCTTATGCTTGCCCAGAGGCTAGGTCGATCTTCCTGGACGCACGGGCGCGAGAATCCTATAGGCCAATACACACTGCAGCAAGTTCAAGCAAATAGTCTAACCTCACCCAAGGTAAATCTGAGTACAGAGCAAAGGGCAACAGCGTGGGGTGCAGGCCAGCCAATTCTCTCATAGGTGGGGGAACTTTTGAATCTCCGCCCAAGTGGTACCGATTTCGAACACGTCGAGGAGGAAACGCTGTAGCTTGTGCCGCACACTCAGCTGCTCCTGGTCCAAGTCGGGAAGCCCATTGAGATCGCACGTGTGGCGGTTGTCGGTCCAAGGAGGCAAATGGCAATTGGCTTGAGGGTTTCCGGGATAATGGTGGAAATCCGTTGGCAAGAACTTGAGTTCCCCATCCCCACTCATGTTGAAACGCCTCTCACCGTATTCAGTGCCAGCGAAGCCAAGGCATTTCGATGTGGTCTCTGTGGCTGTCTCCTTGTCGCGCCCACAAGTCTTCCCTTGTGCACTCTTGGGGGTTTGAATGTGTGTGCTGGCCATGTGATTTAAGATGACGTCGAGCATGACTTCCACACCAGCCTGCTTACACGTTCTCACCATTTCGATGAATTCACCTCGAGTACCTGACCGGGATTCAAGCTTGTCAGATACAGGTTGGTATCGGTCAAACCACTTGTCACCCACCACGTGCTCTTGCGCAGGGGACACTTGGACCACATCATACCCAGCTGGCCCCAAATGCTCCAAACACTCTCTGCCAATATCAGGCCAGGTCCACTCAAACAGTTGCACCATCACCAGATCATGCCCAGACATGTCGCATAGTGCCGACCACACCTCGGTGCGAGAGCCAGGGGGTGGTTGCTTCTGCTGCCTCTGCCCATCATGTCTATTGAATACGTCCTCTTCCGAGCAAGCCAGCAACTCGCATAGCCCATTAGCCTCGGAATACTTGAAGGCGTTGGCCTGGAGCTTGTCTTCTTCAGACATGATTCGCACGATGCACGTCATGGGGGCAGGCGGGAATCTGGTGGGGGGGTGGGCACTGCTGGGAGAAGGGCCTGGTCGCACCGACGTGCAAACGATTTCGAAGCAGGAGCCAACGAAAAGCACGATGCATGTGAGCAACAAAGCGCCTGCGATCACCACGAAAACGATGACTACAACAGCGCCTGCACAGTGCCTGCGAGCGCCACGGTGCCTTTGAACAGGTCGTGGCCTGTAGTCACCCTATAGCTTGGACGCCACAGGCCCTTTGGTGACTTGAGGCGCTGCCGCAGCAGCCCTGCCGTGTTCGTCAGCACAGAGCTCTTGCCTCGTGATGGTAGCCAGCATCACCACGACTACGAAACCCACGCTGCCTGTGTTGATCGCTGTGCCCGAGAGAACCACGAGGCCTATGAACACCGCAGCGCCTGAAGGCACATTCAGGCACTCAGCGTCTGAAGGCGCCTCAAGATCAGCCTGTGGACGCCGCGTGTTCTGAACCCAGATGTGTCGCACCAGGAATGCCGCAAAATGTGGCTCGCATGTATTTGCAGACCGCGGTGTCTTTCAAACACGAGCGATGCGGCCACCTCGAGGGAGGGGGGAGAGGGACTCCAGATCATGGACGTCATGCATCTTGCAATCAAAGCAAGCTCCTGCACGTGGTCGTGCGCGCGAAGGCGGCAGTTGAACTTCCCGGTGGTGTACTGGCCGTATTCATTTTGGCCGAAACCACTGCCGCCCGATTTGGCAAAGTTAGTGTTCTGCCGCGTCTCGAGCACCTTACACGTGTGCCTCTCGGAGCAGCGGTGGTATGGTGTGAAGGGCGGGCGCCTGCCGACGAGGGAACGCTGCACCAGCCATAAACCCAATGCCAAAAGCCCGCCAGTTGCTAAGGAAGTGGCCAGCGGGCTCCTCCGGAAGAGCCGCATCACCAGCGTGTTGCTGTAGCCCCGGTTGCTCTGAACAGTCATGCCGAACTCCTTCTGCACGAAGGGAAGGGCGAGCGCCTGAGCAAAAAACTGTAGGATCCCGATGGGGGCCAGAGACACCACGATGGCGTCCGCCAGCTCCTTCTGGTTGGTCGTCAGGAAGGATGCCCCGTGCCTCCTCGCGATGAACTCGCAGAGAAACGGGGACAATGCGCAACAGAACTGCTGCATTGATGTGAAGATCGTCCCGTAGCTGAGTAACCGCCACCGGGAGTTCAGCACCTGGTGAGTGTGTCGGCTCCCGCCCTGGATTCTGACCCCCGGAGGTCTACGATGTCCCTGGACGTCCCCCCAGGCTCGCGGAGACTCTGGAGGCCGAAGAAGGGGCAACACCTTCCAGAACCTTCCGAAAAGCGTTCGAAGACCACCCTTCCTCCGATCCTCAAGGGTCGAGGGGAGCACTGAGAATCGGCACCCGCATCTTCACCGTCCACATGGCGGAAGAGCGGACGCCCTCGAGCAGCAGCGCGAAGAGGCACATGGCCATCGCGTAGTAGGAGGTGCCCAGGAAGGTGAACGTGGACACCTCCTCCAGCACGATAGCCATCAGGAGGGAGGGCGGGCCCAGCACCACGGCGCTGGCAATCAGGGGCGTGCACCTGGGATGCCCCTCCACCCATCGCTGCATCATCGGTTTCGGGCTCCCAGGGGGAGCGCTGGCGAGCCCCTCATCGCTGGAAAGCGAGGCGCTGACGACAGGAAGGCAAGCGCGCAAGAGGTGTGACCTCAGAGCAGGCTCCACTGCCATGTCTCGTCTCTGACTGAGCAAGGTCAACAGATACACTGCCAAAGTGTAATCCCGCCAGCCCTCCGAGAAGCACACGACTGATCAAAGTGGCTCAACATGGCCAGCGAGCCTGTCAAGGAGGCACCCGAGAGGCACAAGAAACTCATCACATTAAGTTTTTCCAATCTTGAAAGCCTCGAGCGATCCCCACCCGCGACTGCAGGGGCCCCATAGGGAGCTCCATCGACAGCCGCAGTGCCGGCGCCCGCGTGGCGGTAGCCCAATTTCGGCACGCCCCTCACGCGCTCCCTGGCCACATCGGGAGCTCCATCGACAGCCCCAATGCCAGCACCCGCATGGCGGCCCCATGGGGGAGCACCGAAGGCCCCGGCGGGCAACGCCCGCACAGCGACACCCCTCACCCGCTTCGTGGTCCCATCAAAGGGACCCCACCGAAGACCCCTGTTCCTCCTCCTCCTCCTCCTCCTCCTCCCCCTCCTCCTCCTCCTCCTCCTCCTCCTCCTCCTCCTCCTCCTCCTCCTCCTCTTTCTCCTCCTCCTCCTCCTCCTCCTCCTCTTCTTTTCCTCCTCCGCAGCGCACGCATGGCGGCCCCGCCCCGTTTCGGCGCAGCCCTCGCCCGCTCCGCGGCCCCATGCGGAGCTCCGCCGAGAGCCTCCGTGGCTGTGAACCGCATGGTGGCCCCGCCCCACTCTGGCCCACTCCTCGCACATCAGCGCCCGCGTGGGCCCCACCCCATGTCGGCACACCCCTCACACGTCCCGTGGAGGAGGAGGAGGAGGAGGAGGAGGAGGAGGAGGAGGAGGAGGAGGAGGAGGAGGAGGAGGAGGAGGAGGTGGCGCCATAGGGAGCTCCACCCCGGGCCCCAGCGGCAGCGCCCGCGTGGCAGCCCCGCCACGTGGCGGCACAGCCCTCACGCGCTTCGCGGCGGCGCCATGGGGAGCTCCACCGAAGGCCCCACTGGCAGCGCCCGCACGGCGGCCCCGCCACATCTTGGCACACCCCTCGCACGCCTCGTGGCCTCAGGGGGAGCTCTCGCTCCTTCGTCCCGCCTGCATTTCGATGCTCAGGCCTGCAAAAGGTTGGGTCCCTCGCCAAGACCATGCTTGCTTCGAGCGATCCCCCCCACCCGAGAGCGCGAGGCGGGATCCCCAGGGAACACTGGTACACCTCGGGCCTGGCGGCTGCGGTATGCAGCCGCCATTCGTCGAAGGCGCGCGGCGGCATCCCCTGGGAGCACTGGTACACTTTGGGCCTGGCGGCCGCGGGAAGCAGGGTGGGAGATTTGGACGCCCGAAATGGGTACGGAAAAAATGGGTACAACGCCCAGCAACAAATGCTATCCCAAACCAGCAGCGGCCGCTGTTGGGCAGGCGGCCTTCTGTCTCGAATGGACACATGCCGCGGCGGCGTGGACAGCGAATCCTGTTCAAAATGAACAGGAACTGCTGTTCGGCATTGTACCTATTCTTTCCGTACCCATTTCGGGCGTCCAGAGGAGAAGCGGGTCGGCAGCTCCATTCCTTGCACCCATCAGCCCAAACCTGTCAGGTGGGGAATGTGTCTGCCTTCTCGCACCCTCGCCTCCAATAGACTCCTGACGCCTCGAGGTGGTTCAAGATGGCCTGAGAGGCCCAAGATGGGCCCATAGGGGCTCCAAGGCGGCCTCGAAAGCGCCCAGAAGTGCCCGGAGAACTCCCCAAGACACGATGCTCCACGCTTCAAAGCGGCAAGGCCAAGTCAGGCACTCTCTTTGTGCGGTCGACGCCCTCAGCAGGGTCCTCCGCGGGGCTGGACCTCGGCGGGGCTTGGGGGAGGAGGAGGAGGGTGAAGATGAGGATGAGGGTGAGGATGGTGAGGATGCTGAGGAGGATGAGGAGGAGGAGGAGGAGGAGGAGGAGGAGGAGGAGGGCGAGGAGGAGGACGAAGAGGAGGAGGAGGAGGAGGAGGAGGAGGAGGAGGATGAGGAGGAGGAGGAGGAGGAGGCTGGACTCCCCTCGGGAAGCCCCGCTTGAGGGGGCGGTGGCGCTGGTTTCCCAGAGCGGGATCCAGGACTGCCACCCCCGACTGCCATCCAGCGTGCTTGCGGCCACGCCCGCCCGTGGATGGGGGAAGGAGGTGGAGGAGGAGGAGGAAGAGGAGGAGGATGAAGGAGGAGGAGGAGGAGGAGGAGGATGAGGAGGGGGAGGAGGAGGAGGAGGAGGAGGAGGAGGAGGAGGAGGAGGAGGAGGAGGAGGAGGAGGAGGAGGAGGAGGGCGGGGACAGCGCGTCCAGAGGCGAACCCCGCCCATATCCCGGAATCCGAGGGGCCCAGCCTCAAGGGGCCGAAAAGTCAGCACTGCACAGCCACCGGTTGGAATGCCACTCATCTTCAATACCCGCCACCGTGCCGCTGGGCCCGCTGGGCAATGAGTGGGCGTGCGTGTCCCCAGGTCCTTTGCCTAATCCTTGAAGCTGCAAGCCCCACTCCTGAGGAATCTGTACAGTCAAAAACCCTAATAAGGACGCGCGGCAAGGACGCAAGACCCTTGAGAGCCGAAGTTGGGACTGTTGGGGGCGGCGGACGACGAAAACCCCAAGGACGCAAGAGCAAGGACGAGGAGAGACGCAGGGGTACCCTGAGCAAAGTCGCGCGTCCTGATTCGGGTTTTCGACTGTGCATCCCCGCCTGGCTCTGGCCGGCCCCGGCCGATGCTGGGGAGCCGAGCCAGATGGAATCGGACCGGAGCTGTGGTCCCAGCAGGCGAAGCGAATCTCATCGAAGCGCATACGCGGCCCTGGCAGCGCCATCGGCCCCTGTCAGCCCCCCCCCCCGGGGCCTCGTGGGAGCAAAGTCGCGCGTCCAGATTCGGGTTTTTGACTGCACAGTCGGGGCGTTGACCTAAGGAACCCTAAATAAGGAACGGGGCCCCTTTTTTCCACAAGTTAAACTCCGATTTACCATTGGAAACCTAAGGAAAACCCCAGGCAAACTGTAAAACAATCAAGGAGCACCGAGCCCCTCCCCAACGAGAAGGGTTCCTTCTGCAGGGCCCCGACTGTAAGGGGCCCGGACCCGAAATTCCTGGCCTCTCCTGGGCTTGGCGCGTGCCCCTCGGGGCCGCCCGTCGCAGCTCCTCGCGTGCGTGCACTTCGGGCCCGAGGAGAGCCCCGAGGCGGGCGACGGCGGCCCCCACAGGACGGCCCCAAGACGGCCTCGAGCCGCCGAATGATGGCCCCCAGAAGGCCCAAGAGGCCTCCAAGACGCCCAAAGAGGCCTCCAACAGGCCTCCCAAGAGGGCCCCAAGAGGCCACAATCAATATATATATATATATATATATATATATATATATATATATATATATATATGTGTGTGTGTATGTGTGAATGTGTGTGTATATAATATATATATATATATATATATATATATTCCTCTTCCTATATGTTTACACAAGCCCGGGCGGGGGGAAAACCCGTCCCCCCCCAAAACCGGACTCCCCGGATCTGGGGCTTTGGGACCTTTCGGACGGGCCTCGAAGCGGCCCCCCGGGCCTCGCAGGACGTTTTGCCAAGCCTTCGCAGCACACCTAGGGCGATCAGGGGGGTCATCGGAGACGTCCTGGAGAACCCTAAGACAACACAAGAGCGCTCCAAGAAGCCGTTATACCCCGAAAGATCGCTCCAAAACGTACCAAGAGGCCTCCAAGAGCGCCCCCAAGAAGGACCCAAGAGGGACAAATCATTGATTTAATGTAAGTATTTGGTGAATTTGGGGTTCTCCTCTTTTCGGCTTCCCGACGCTCCAAGACAGCGGTCTTCTGGGCGTCCGAAGTCGCCTGGAAGGCTCCAAAATGGCCCCACAACCATCAGAAAGGGCTTCCAGGCAATCTAAGAGAGCCCCAAAACGGCACACCAGGGGTCCGAAATGGCCCTAAGAGAGCCCCATGGCGGCCCAAGATGGCCCCAAGACCCCCTCCGAAGCATTCCAAATCGTGGCTGGGGCGTTCAGGGAGACCGCGGTTAGAGGCAGGTTGGCCTTTGGAAGCCCCAGAAGCCCCCAGAACACGCCCAGGAGGCTTCCAGAAGGCTTTAAGAAAGCTTGAGAACTTTGGTGAGGCTCCCAGAGGCTCTCCAAGGAGGAGCCTCCGCAAAATGAGCTGAAGAGGATGGGGAGAATGCCCAGGGTATGGCGAGAATGAGGAAAAACAAACATGGATGAAGGATAACGAACAACATTATTATAACGGCGATGCCAGAAAAGGCAGCAAGAAGTTATCGTTCAGGTGTCCGCTTGACCTTCCTGCCTTTCCCGCCTGCATAGCAATCTTCAAGGACCAAGGTGCATGGCGCGAAGCGCCACTGCAGTCTTGTATACATATATATATATATATACACACATTCTTTTCGGTGTTTGAACGATGTTGGTGTTCTCGCCTTTTCGGCTTCCCTGCGCTCACAAACGGCCCTAGAAGCCCCCAAGACCGCCCTACGAGGTCTAAGATGGTCCCAAAACGGGGCAGCCCAAGAGGCGCCCAAAACGGCCCAAGAGGGGCCCCAAGACTGCCCTCAAAGGGGCCCAGAAGAGGGAGCACGAACCGAACATCCGAGCCTTCCGCCCCAAGATGCTCACAGGAAGGCCCCCAAAGGCACCCAGGATGCCCCAAGAGGCCCCGAGAGACTCCCAAGAGGCCCCAAGAGGCCCCCCAAAGGCCCAAGATGCCCCCAAACGGCTCCCAAGAGGCATCCAAACTGCCTCCAAGAGGCCACCGAGAAGCCTCCTACGAGATCCCAACGAACATGCAATGGGCTTCGTGCCCGCAACCCAGGCACGGTGGCGGGATGGGTCGAAGGCCATTCGATCCGCCGCCCCCTGT